CAGCCAGTGAGCGGGAACCAGTCTGTATGTGGGATCCGAACCCTCGGTGGGAGCACCACCGTGCTGCCAAGCGGCGCACTGTAGCAGTGCGCCACTGGGCTGGCCCAGAGAGGCCAGTTTAGGCTGGAGAAGTCCTAGAAGGCTCCCTGGAGGAGGTGGCATTTGAGCCAGGCATTGAAAGATGGGTCAGATTTCAGCTGGAAGGGATGGACGGGAAAGACACGCCAGATGATGGGAACAACATGGGCAAAATTGATGAGGAGAGGAAGTTCCAGACTTGCTGGAGAGAAGCGAATAGCTGAATGTGGTTTGAGCCTGAGGACGCTGGGAAGGGCTGATGGGGCCAGGCTGAGGGGGTGTGGAGAGATGCTAAAATTCAGGGGTTAAGGGCTTGTACTCTGAGGTCAGACATGTCTGAGATCAAGGTCCAGCTCTGCCCCTTAGCAGCTGAGACAGTTTTAAACCTCCATGAGCATCAGCATCCTCATCTTCAAAACAGGAGTAGTGATAGCCCCTACTTCATAATTTAATATGGTAACGTGAGATAACACATGCAAAGTGCTTCATCCAGGGCCAGGCATAGAGGGGACGCTCTTGAAAACAGGCTGTGTAGCCTGACACTGTTGCTAAGACTTGGCTTAGGGAGAAGATTTTAATCCAGTGGAAGGGAGGAAGGTGCCAGGCATTGCTGTCAGAAGTGGGATGGCCCTGATTTTCTATCACCCTTTTGTTTTCTCTTGCAGGGTCCTCCTGGGCCTTATGGAAATCCAGGCCTCCCAGGCCCCCCTGGAGCCAAAGTGAGTACTTGCTGTGTGATCTGAAGATAAGGCTGTGGAGTGGGTGCTGGGCCTGGGGCTACGTTTGGGGTGCTTCCTAGAGGTTCCTGGGAGCAGGGCTTCAGGGTCACTGTGGAGGATTCCCATCCAGCCAGAGGCCCCCTTCAGCTCTTTGCCAGTGCTAGGCCCTGTACTGGAGGCTGTGGAGTGGGTGCTGGGCCTGGGGCTACGTTTGGGGTGCTTCCTAGAGGTTCCTGGGGGCAGGGCTTCAGGGTCACTGTGGAGGATTCCCATCCAGCCAGAGGCCCCCTTCAGCTCTTTGCCAGTGCTAGGCCCTGTACTGAGGTTGGAGACACAGTGAGGGGTCATGAATTTAGCTTCTGGTTGGGAGAGATTGTCAGGAGAAGGGCAGCCAGAACCTAGAGCCCTCAAAGGGGGGTAGGCAGGAAAGTAGTTTGTTGCTAAATAGGGAGGGTCTGAATGTCCGACATAAGGTTTGCTGGGTTGTGAGACACATCTAGGGAGGCATGTCAGTTTTTAGCTGGGGAGGGACGTGGAAAGGTGGTGTTTTAGAAAGATCACTGGATGCTGTGGGGAGGATGGAGTGGGGGTGGGGACCCCAGGCGCAGCAAGGAGACCAGGGCTGATACAGGGGAGAGGGGAGGCTAGCCTGGGCCAGTTCAGGGGTGTGGGAGGAAGTGGGGTAGAGAGGATGGTGATGGTGCAAGGTGAGAGATGGCGACTCTCTGGTGTTAGCCTTGGTGGCTGAACTGGGAACCCAGGAGAAAGAATAAGATGATGTTGCATTTGGGAACCTGTAGCTTAGCCAGGTGGAGATCATTCATGGGAAGACAGTCTGAAACTCGAGCACTTCGAGCTGGAGACAGAGCCTGGGCGTGGGAGACAGAGGGTGGGGGAATGGCTGGCACAGAGATGCCACCGCCCACCGGGGAGCTTTCTTTGAGTTTATGTTTAATGAGACCTTCGTGGCTGGTGCTCTGATGATGGGGAAACTCCAGCTGCTGAGCTCCTTGGTCTGCTGCTGGAGCGTGGGCAGAGGGCAAGGTTGTTGGGGGTGGTGTATGCAGTGAGGAGCTCAGAGCACTGAGAGGAGCCACCGAAGCTCAGAGAACAGCCACTGTGCGGAAGGACGGTGGGTGGGCCGGGAAGAGCAGAGGGGCTCCTGGTTTGGAGGCCTCCCAGCCTATCTGTGGGGTGACCAGGTGAAGTGCTCCCCTGGGCTTTGGTTGGCCCAGGTCCAAGGTCATTTTTCTAACCTCAGTGCAAAGGTCAAATGGCTCGAGGAAAGCCATTAACCGACTGGCCCCAGGCCACACAGAGTGAGGGGCTGACCAGCCTCCTGAAAAAACCCGGCTCTCCTGACTCATGGAGCGGGGCTCCTTCTGGTCCATCAGTTTGTCTGGGAGTTGTGGACAAAGGTCACATATAGGTGGCCCTGGATATATAGATTTATGGCACCAGAATCCTGGTGCAGAGCCTTTGCACAGAGCTGAAGGAACACCAACCTGAGCCCCTATAGGTCTGTGACTCTACAGCCAGGGCTGGGCTGGGGCCCCTCCTTGGAAAGCTGGCAGTGGAAGCCTCAGGTGTCCAGCTCAGCGGCTGCCTGGAGGTGCTCTGGGTTTTAACAAAGCAAACACTGATGATGATAACTACCATATATTGAACCCTTCCTGTGTGCTAGGCACGGTGCGTGCACTTCACCGGGCTTGTCTCATATGATCCCCAATGAAGACCAAGGGGATGAGTGGAGATACTGCACCCATTTACAGAAAGGGAAACTGAGGCCTGGGCAGATGAAGACACTGTCTAGGAAGTGTCAGCAGAACCTACCCCTATAGGGCAGGCAGGAGAGCAGAGCTCCTTTGGAGACTTCTGCTTTGCAGAGTCCATGGGTACATCAAAATGCTGAGGATCAGCAGCTGTTGAATTGCCAGGCTTGCTGTTCTTGGCTTGAGCCAAGGGTGGGCAGAGGTCGCCCCAGGACAGGCCAGTTGGGTGGGAGGCCCCAGTCTGCTGGGCCTGGGTTCCAGGCTCATCTTGGCATGGGCTGGTCAGAGTTAAAGCAGAGGCTTTCCCTGGATGAAATTCGTGACTTAGCTGAGATTGGATGAGAATGTTGTGTATCTGCATGAATGAGTGGGATTCTGGGGAGAGGGTCCTCACTGTTCATCAAATCCCCTTTGGGCCTGGGAGGTGACCTGGTGGGACTCTAGGGCTGACCTCCCCCAGGGCTTGCACCAGCCCCTCCTCTTTCAGCTTGATGTCGGCTTCCAGGGCTGCCTCTGGGGCCACCCATTCATTCATCCTCCTTCAGCCAACAAACATGTATTCAACACCTACTATGGGCTGCTGACAGAAATCAACCAAACAGGCAGCTTTCCCTGGTGACACGGAGTCTGCCCTAGTGGCATGGAGCCTGCCCGTCATATGGATTGGCCACTGTGCTCCTTCCTTCTGCACATTCCCAATCCCTCAGGAGCTCATGACCCTGTAAGATAAAGATCCCTCTGTCAGACTCAAGGGTGGGAGAGACAGGTGGATTGAGGAAGATCAAGAAAGGGAGAAAGAGCAAAGATAAGGGACCTCATCCCTCTTGAGGTTCAAAGGAGTGAAAGTCCAAAAGGCCAAGGTGACCTGCCCAGGTCACTTGCTCGGCAGTGGCGGGGCTGTATTTTGGATTCTTGGGTTTGCCTGCTGGGAGGAGTCTGGTCAGTGTTCCACAGCTGGTACAGCGCAGAGCCAGGCTTCCCCCACCTGCCCACTCTAGAGCCCAAATCATTGCCCAGGTACCACATACCCGTAGATTCCATGTTCAAATCTGGCAAGAAGAGGGTTCATCAGCTCCTGCCCAGAGTCAAGACCAAGACTCTGAGAGTGAGGCGGAGAAGCCAGAACCCTGGGAGATCAGTGCTGGCTGACCTCAGAGGCTCAGGGTTGAGTAACTGGGTTGAATCATTTATCCAATTGGCACATAGTTGTTGCTTCAGGAAAGCACAATGGTAAAGAACGCAGACTCTGGAGGCTGATGGCCCAAGTTCAAACCCTGGCTCTGTTACCTCCTCATTCTGTGACTGTGGGCAAACTTTGATCTTCCCGTGCCTCTATTTCCTCATCTGGAGAACATAGTAATAAGAGCAGCTGCCTCCTCGGGTTGTCATGAGGGGTAACTGAGTTGCTCTGCGTCTGAGTATTGAACAGAGCTGGCCAGTGGGGAGCGCTACAGAAAGGTCAGCTGTCGTACCTGCAAGGCACTGAGGCTACAAGGGGCACAGACAGATAAGGGCCACAGGCAGGCACGGTCCCTGCCCTTGTGGAGTGCAGAGGTGAGCAAGAAAGAAAAACAAGCCAATTATACCAATAAATGTAGAGTGTAGTTACGCTGTGATTAGGATCTAAGGCTCCCTGTGAGAGGCCCAGGGGCTCAGACACCCCACAAAATGGGGATTGATCTGGTCTGGGAGGTAAGGGACACTTCCCAGAGGGCGGGAAGGTTGAGCCAAGGCCTGGGGGGCAACTAGGCGAAGGGGCAAGAGAAGTCTCAGAGGGCAGCAGGCCTGGTAGGCAGTGGTGAGATTTTTGGACTTTATCCAAGGAGCAGTAGGAAGGCAGGAAAAGGATTTCAGCAGAGGTGACACGATCAGATGAGGTTTGCAAAGGTCACTTAGGCTGTTTGAGAAGCAGGTCTTGGCCGGTGGCTGGTTGGGAGGCCTGGAGCTGCCCTGGTGGGGTGCTGATGCCGGACCATGCAGGAGTCAGGTGGCATGCAGGGCTGTGGTGCAGGTGAGGAGCTCTGAGCCAAGGTGAGCAGGGCTCCAGCCAGGTGGGGAAGCTGGAGCTCCCCGCACAGGGCAATGCAGCGCCTGGTCCTACTCTTGGGCAGCTGGCTGCCCTGTTCTTGGTCTGGCCCACTTGGCCTGGTCTTCAGTGAATTAGCCATGATTACCATGGGCCCTTGAAAACTAGGGGAGGACAGGCAGTCATGAGGAGACAGACTCATGACCTAGGTGGCTGCTGGCAGAGCTGGTGGGAATCTGGGTGGAGACAGCCCTACAGGGTTCTCAGGCCTTGGGCCCCAGCCTACCTTTCTCCTTCCTCTGATGACTGAGGTAGGGCATACTTATTAGGGAAAATGTGGAAAAGTACAGAAGTTATCAAGAAGAAAGTAAGCCACCTGCAGTGGCCCTGCCCAGTGCTAAGCACTGAGAGCATTTTGAGCAGCCTGGGGGTTAGGTACCAGCCAGGAGCTTTGTGTGTTTTTCAGAGCAGATATTATCACCCCCATTTTACAGATGACGAAACAAAGGTCCAAAATGGCTAAGTGACTTGCCCAGGGTCACATGTCTAGTAAGTGGCAGAGCCAGCATCCAGACCCTCATTTAGCCCCAAGGCAATTTGGCCTCGAGCCCCATGGCTCTCTGGTCCTCCCAGAGAGGACCTGTTCTGTCGTGTGTGAGTGGGGACTCACGTCACTGTGGCTGGTATCTGGCCTTCCTCCTTAACCTTTCCTGTGATATTTTCCTCTTACTAACTTTGCTTCCACCACATGTTTTAAGGGCTGCATGGCATTCCATACTTTATATATCCTATTTCCTTTTTTAAAAAAAAACAGTTCCATTTACTAATATCCAAGTAATAGCTGGAAGAACATTATTGTATGTAAATGTTGGAATATCTCTAATGGTTTCATTAGAATAAATTTTTATAAATAGAATTGACAGCATGGACTCAAGAGCCAGTGTGCCTGAGTTTGAATCCTGGCTCCACCACTTGCTGGGTGTATGACTTTGGGCAAATTTCTTAAACTCCAAGGGCCTCAGTTTCCACTTCTGTAAGATGGGATAACAATAGTTCATATCTTATAGGATTGTTCTGAGGATTAAGCTGTGTGTGTGTGTGTTTATATATGTATATACATATATATGCATGTATACATAAACATGAATAATTTATAACATGCCTTGCACATAAGAGCTATATGAGTGTTGAGCAATTATTTT